ATTTATTGTGCGGAATGGTCATTTTTTCTGGAATTTCTCTATAGTTTTTTTATTTTCATCTTTCGGTGTACAATAAAATTGTTACTTGCTATTGAATTGTATCACAGTACAGATGATTGTCATCAGTTGAGATTAACTTTCATTTTTCGTTGCACTTCAAAACTCGTCATGCTACGCGAGTATAATAAAAGCGGCCCACGTCCCAGATCTCTCTGCGCCCCTTGAGTTGTTTAAAAAATCACGCAGTGCTATTTTTACCGAACAATTACGTGTGATTTCTCGAGGACAGGAGCGACATTTACTCTTCCGCGGAATAAGGCCAAACGGTTGGGCAAATCGTGAAATTCAAATAAAAAAAAATAAAAAAAAAAAAAACGTTTCGTAAATACTTTGAGAAATAACGTTTGCAGGCCTATCACGTGTGTTAACGGCGAAATAATTCTTACAGGCGCGTAAAAATTCATTAGCAAGAAACAATACATATAAGCTCAACTGTATATACATTTAAGCGATAACAGCCACTGGCGGGGTGTTTTTTTTTCGTGTTTCCAACTCCGTAAAGTTCGGGCAGCACCGAGTGAGGGACCGATTTATCCCAGCACTTTACGCTCATCGATACGCGTCCTACTCCTCCTTGCCAAAGCTCGCCTCTTTTTTTCTCCCTTCATACTTCCTCGCTCGTATGCGAAAGTTGAAGGTACTTTTTGACGGTTATACGTATATAGATACACGCATATATGAGGAAATCTCCTTTTATTTTTCACTTTTCGAGGGGCAAAAATCAGCCGAATTTTTTTATAAAGGCACAATTCAAAAACATTGTTTTTTATCTTCTAGAGGCCATACAGAATAAGTATAAAATTGTGAACACGCGATTCAGGTCTCGGCACACTGTTTTATTTGCATTTAAGATAAAAAAAATTTATTTTTTCTAAGATTTGACGTTAAGATTTTTTTCATTCGGATTAATTGACATGACAATATTCGTACAAACAATAAGTAAAGTATCTACTTCACCATTTCCGAGGTCGCTCTTTCCATTGGTGCAATCCAAATTTTTGTAACGTCTTATTTTTTACCATATTTGTGTGAAAAAAAAAAAAAAAAAAAAAAACATGTGGCTGTAAGGTCGCACGTGAACGCTCGAGCGTCTCCATTCATGAGCCCCGATTCGAGGCGCCCTTGTTCCGTGGAAACATAAACTGGCTCCAAAGTTATTTTTAAACTCGCAAACTCGCAAAAAGTAACGCTTGATACACGGCATCGAAGGTACTTTGAGCAATACGTCGGAACGGCCCTAACGACTCCTTGAAAACTTTCGTTTTGGAAGCGATATCGCGAGTCGCTGGCAATCAAAAAAAGGGTTTTCCCGCGGATCGTTAACATTTTATCCCTCAAATGATTTATGAGCGAATGGATTGCAAAGAAAAACCAAAATCAAATTCCAAAAGTCAAACGCGGCGCGTATAAGCTGAACACACGCGAACGGTGACTCTGCGTAAACTCCATACACGACCTACTGGCACACGGAAGTGTACCTGCGTGTATACGTAACTTCTTGTATACTCGTGTGCAATGACGTGCTGGAAATCCCGTCAGTTTCATTACCGTATAATCAAATGAACCGAGGGATGAGGGAGACATACGGGGAGTATGATCATCTCTGCATACGAAAGTAGGTCGGCGGGGAGCTGTCAATGCCACGATATGACAATGGAAAAACAAGCGATCGTCGTCCTTATGATGTGCACGTTTTTAAACCGACAAGTTACCTCGAACGAGTAAACCCACGTGTTGATGCTCGCAAAGGTACTTCCCTCTTCTCCATCACTTAGAAATCAATATGTTGGGGGGGGGGGGGGGTGTCGGGGTATTTGCCCAAATCAATCTGTATTAGATGACACTCCTACAGTTAATAACCGCTATACTGTCACGAGAGGGAGAAAAAAAAAAAAAAAGAGTAGCGAATATTATACATCGTCGCTTGAAAGTACACGTGTTAGTGCTCGGAGAAGCGCGCGATGAATCGATAAAACTCGTGTGTACAGCGAGAGGCCTGCCGAAAATACACCCATGTGTATACGTGTTCAATCGGGTCACGGAAATCAAATCCAGGTGTATTGTGCGCAAGGGAGAGCAACCTCTATACGTATAAACTATGCGTATATAGTGTTTTATCTGAATAATGCAGGCGCGCGCGGACAAAAGTTTATGTACACGCGTACAACAATCGCACGGTGAGTGTGTCGATGAACTCTCGCTCCGCTTGCACCGAGCTCGGACTGTAACGCGGAGCTGGGGTGTAAGTATACTTTTCCAAAACTTGGGATGGAGAGCTACATTGGAGCCAAAGTGTAGCCAACGGATGAGGATACATGTACAACTGAAAGGGAGATGGGTAATTTTTGTAAATCTGCAACTCGCCGCGGAAGAAAGAGAGAAATGGCATCGGATAAGCCCGGCCCCGAAACTTTTGGGCTTTGCTCGATATCGCGTTGGACTCTTCTGAAATATGTTTCATCTCCTTTTTTTTTTTTAGGTGTACCCTAGTGGAGATGGATGTGGAAATTGTTCGCAGCAACGGAGGGAAAAACAAATCGATTCCCGGTATAGATAATATATGTTCTCGCAACGGAGATCCACTCGTCAACCGAAAGAGAAATGAATTAGGTCCATTGTGTCGCGGATGTACGGAAGAGGCGCGGAAAAGGCGACGGACTACTCTTTCCGTGTTTACTTATATTTCCCTCTTATGTGCACCCAAAGAGCTCATTTGAAAATCGAAACCGGAAATACAAGCAACCCGGCCTCGGAGTAAACCCTGACAAAACATTTTCCAAACCAAACGGGGGGGGGGGCGATCCATCGATCAGACCGATCGAAATTAGGTGGCACACGTATGTACGTATACATATACATGTATATGTATAAAAGGGAGCACGGGCTAGCTGCTGTCCTACAAGCTGAATGAATGGCTCGACCTGATTTCTCTCTCGAGCGCCCGAGTAAACAAGAGCAAAGCTCTTTCTCCTCCCTCTGATCAGTTCCAACTCCTCAACTTTTCTAGCCTTTGCAACTTTTCGTTGAAGAAAGTAAAAAAAGAAAAAGAAAAAAAAAAAGATGTATGCCAAAATCACGCACACCCCCCAACTGTGGTGCACGAGTCATTGGTAGTAAATGCCGGAAAAGGAGAGTTGCAGTGAGTTTAACAGTCTATACAGCTGCATATAGGCTCACCAGAGGCGTCCAGCCGCCTCCACCGTATCATACAGTACCTACGGCGGCAGCCAGTATATATAGCGCGCATCGAGCAGTCGATCGATCCGAGAAGCCAGCGTGCGCTAACTACATACCATACACGTACAATATACACACGAAGCACACGCCGTGTACACTGGCACTAGCTGTACACACATGTGGAACCCCGTGCGCCCTCCACTCTGCCACCCCTGCCCCCCTCTCGTCGCTATATGTGTGTGTGTGTGTGTACACACACGGTGTTTCCCGCGCCCTCAGGGGTGGATACGTATAACGTGTGTACACACAGGGTGCACGTTACATAGGGTGTGTGTGTGTATATATATATATATATACGTATAAGTCGAGAGCCAAGCCTAACCAACGCCAGTCGACCTCGCCCGGCCGAGGGTGGCTGGCCCGCACGCGGCTCACCCTCTTCTTACTCTACCTACTGGCATTCTCGGCTCCTCCTCTCTTTCTTCCGGAGAGAATTTACGGGGCTGGTTGCCGTGTGCGGAGGGGGTGTCTGTGACCGTTCTCGTGCTTCAAGGGATGCAAGGCTCGAGAAGGGATGAAAACGAGGAAAACGAGTAATAGTTGGAAGAAGAGCAAAAAATTCGTGCGAGCGTTTGTTGGGCTATGAGAGAGAGAGAGAGAGCTTTGGTGGAGCGAATTCGGATGAGGAGGGTTGGTTTACTCAAAAAAAAAAGGACCGATGAAAAGTACTTCAAATGCAATCGCGAGGTTTTTCAAACTCTGTGTTCACGGGTGTGCGAGAGGGAGGCAAAGTTTTAGTCAGGGAGAGGGCCCCCCCCCCCAAAGTAGGTACAAAACGACCTTAACCTTCCGTACGAGAGCAACATATTATCCCCACGCCAGAAAGAGAGAGATATATGTACTTAGCTCTGACGGTCGCCCGCGACGTCGAGAGAATAGGGCTAAGACCCCCTCGTTAAACAAATCCATGTACCTACACAGAGAGAGAGAGGAGGGAGGAAACAGTAGACGCGAGAGAGCGCGAGCTGTTTTTACACCCCTCCCTACCTCTCGGCGTCCCCCGTTTCGTCTATCTGGCACACGCGTTTCGAAATGACGAGTACGGCGTGTATCATACGTCATGCATCTTGACTCTGTGCACGAGAGAACACGGAGGGGGAGGCGTGAGTACGCGGGTAGATAGGTACGCGTGATGTTTGTTGTTGTCCAGCAAGGGTCGGCGATGCACGGTATATGAGTGGGCACCAAAGGGGGATGCAACTAACTTTCTACATGTGCCACGATCCCTTTTGCCACTTGACACGCTCGCGTGGTGACTGAAAGAAATAAAGCACTCGTTCCGTCGATGCTGCCCCACCGAGAAGCCCTCGAGTTTTGGCAAATCTATTCTCTTACTGAGCGATAATTTCACGTGGATCGATCTTCACAAGCCCCTGGGTAAGAGCTTTGCAAGAGCAGTGCTCAGAAAAAAGTAGCCACGCGGAGAGCGGCCGACTTTGTGAAAAAAAAAAATTGTAAGCTCCGATAAAGTATAAATGTTATTACGAATTTTATGGTAGATTAATATCAACGAGCAGGTATCGCCGTTTTCCCAGGCAGACGGTGAGTCGAACCAGCCATGCCTTACCACGCACAGTTCCGTACACGAAGCCCACAAGTCCGTGTATACCAACTGAACTATTTGTACTCGGCACTCGGAGGAGAAACAAATAGCACGTATAGGAGGATCCCAGGGGGTGAGAGGACGACCAAGCGGAACTTACGTGGCGGGTCAGCTCCCCGTCGGCTCCATGACCTACGGCAACCGTACCACCACCACCACCACCACTATATCACTATACAAACAACAACGGCACTATCCCGTCTATTGGCCCGCGCCATTCGAAGCGTCGGAGCTCAACTGGTGCACAGCCGAGCGGGACGGTCCCATGGTCCCGTGGCTCTAGATGGGCCCGGAAAAAAGCTCTGCGCACCCAACCACGTGACACGTACAGCGGGTCGAAGGTACGGCTCAGCCGCGAGGACTACCAAGTGCCAGACTCCGTGGCTAAACGCATTGCGCGGAGAAGCTCCGTACGGAGGCAGAGCGCCGAGCCGACTGACGGAGCTTGCGAGCGCCACGGGAAGCTTATATGGACTGAGCCGCGCGCGCCTGCGCCTCCGAGTTACATGCACGTATGCCGAGAGCTTTGACGATATGTAGGCGGGGAGCTCTTATCGTGACAGAGTAAGGAAATTCAGAGGCGTGGGGTCTTCAAGGGAGTTACGCCGCCGTTGTTCAATGGACACGCTATTTTTCCGAGCTTGTGAGGGTCGGGGCATTTTTGAACGTCGTATACCAGTATAGCCAGTGTGATTAGGTTTTCGGGGAGCCAAGCGTATTCATTGGTCGAGAAAGAGGTGGATACGATCGGGGGACTGTAGGTGATGCTCGTGTGGATTTAAAAAAAGAAAAGGGAAGTATTGATAAGTATATGAATATATGTATATGTATGAGCCCCCACTTCGGCGCTCACTTGGCAGACGCGGGCCTTTTGTTTTGCATTCAACAATGGAAGGGCGAGAGAAGCGACGGACGCGAAGTAGGTCGGACGAAAAAGCGCGGGACGCGTGAGCTTCCAAGCGGAGCTTTCTCCCATTCTTTTGTGATGTACCACCGACGTCGGATCGATTTTTTTTGTTTTGCGCAGATTTGCTAAACGATCCACCGAGAACAAGAAAATCGGGTACCAAATGACTATGCCAGGCAAGCCTCGCCCCCCCCCCCCATAACAATTAAGAACTCGAGGGTTGGGGATCCAAACTCCCGAAGCACGAAAACAGTGATCGGCCAGCCGCGACCCCTTACCGGTTTCTACAACTCCCTCCCCATGTACGTTTGTACGCAAAACTGTACGACCAAAGCAGGAGAGCATCGATCCACCCTCGCTTGTTCGCGTGCACACGTACGTAAGAGTAACTTTCAGCTTAGGTGCGCGTACATGAGATAATAGTTGGAGTAGGGTCTGGTGTGGAGGATGTGGGGGCGAGGGGGTCGCCAAGCGTGATCCCCACCTGTATATACAATATATATATATATATATATATAATGTATACGCGTTGCCGTGGCTGGACTGTGGGTGAGTTACGCGCCCGGCACGTGTGTCGCGCTCAGGCTACTGGCCCCTCGTGCATTTTTAATGAGTTTGAGCCCCCGTGTATATAAATGTGCCTGCGTGCACAGATGTATGGGAAGATACGCGTGGACGCGTGTAACTGCGAATCCAAGGATTTACGGCGTTTTGTTGTAACTGCGCGTGTACACCTATACGTGGAATATATTAGTCGTACGTATACGTATTTGGATTATTTGATGTCATTTGGTGAAAACAAAAGTGTCGCTTGCGAGAGCTTTTCCAATGTCTATACTCTCGGGAGCCAAACGTATGCGTGTCCGCGAAAAAAAAATGTCCCCGGCTAAACGGTCGAAGCGCGTGAAATGGCTTTTTAATTGTTTTACAGCTCGTGGGGGCCGCAATATCATTTATAAATATGGGTACAAACCAACTTCCCTATAGTCGAGTTTTTTTTTTTTGTCTCTGCGGTAACCCAATTTGATATGAAATTTTTTTTTTTTTTCTTTTTTTTTTAGTACATAGTGAAAATTCATTTTACTTCCACCTGTAGTGCACGCCAAGAGGGGTTGGCTAGTTTATTCGATACCGCCGGCGTAACCATGAGGAGTTTTTCGGCTTGGCAGCTCTGGTGCTTAATATTATGCAGCTCCAAGAGGCAGACGGATCGATGAATTTTCAGCTGGAGGGTGAAAAATGATAATTTTCGATCAAGTATTCGTGGAAAGTAAGATTGAGTGGAAAAAGTCGTGCTTGGAGAGACTTATGGAAAGTAACGATCGTCATCTCCCTGAAAAACTATTTTTTTGCAATTGAGTAAGCGAGTAATGCTTGAACTCGTAAAATGAAAAATTGAGGTCGCGATAGGTGGTATACGACTGGGCGATTAATTAAAACTCAATTAACCGTATCAGCAAATCCGAGGCATCCCATACTCCCTCGATCGAAGCAAGTGCTGGCGTGTGATCTAAATTAAACTACCGCTGATATAACGCGTGCACGGACGATGACGGCGAAAGAACGGGAAATGAGGTACGAGCTTTGAAAGCTCGTTAAACGCGGGCAGCAGCTTGCGTCACGCGTACAAGTATGACGCAACGATGACGAAGCGACGGGGTAAATTGAGACGGGATTACGGGGCAATGCCAAAGGCTTTTGTGAATTTCTCCTTTTTTTTCGCGGTTGGATAGATTTATGAGCTTTTCTGACGAGTGATTGATTTTTACCTTTCGGCATAGGAAGTACGATCATTTTTATTGATGGTCTCGTTAAATTTAACGATGATGCTGAGGGAAAGAAATTTTTCAGCATAATCGGGTGCTTTGGGGAGCTCTGAGGTTTTATTTTTATATACTTTTTTTTATTTTTTTTCTCTCAAGGCCAGAAAAAAAAAGGAAGCTTGAAGGTCGTAAAAATAACTTACTTTAAGAAGAGTATGATTAAGCAACTTTATTCAAGTTTTTTTCTTTTTTTTATTTTATTTTTTTTTTTTTTATATCACTAATGATCACACTTAACTTATAATAAAATAATAAACGGAAGATGAGTGTTCGATAAACACATTTATTCCAAAGAATCATCGTCTTCCAAATAAAATCTGAGATGGGACTATATACGTAACAAATACAACATGTAAAAAGCGTCGCTGTTCTTTATCGTATTTTTTTATTTTATGTGTACGTCGATAAAAGTGTCCAATAAAACAACAAAAAATAGTAATTATAATCGCAACAAACGATAGATAAAATCGATAAAAAATTTTATTTATACTTGCGGCAGTTAAACTTAGTTTTGCTTGGTAATTTCTTCTTTTTTTTTTTTTGCGTTTTGTACACTGTTAGTAGTCGGTATTTCAACATTCACTTATCCCATTACATAAATCACAAAATTAGTCTATTTTATTTTACTCGTAGTGGCGTTGTTACGAACAAAAATGAAACGAAAAATCTTTGAGAAATTACAAAATTTAGTATAAACAGTAACAAAGCTATAATGCAATGCGTGAAAACTGTTTACGCAAACGCCGAAATAAAGTTAAAGTAAATCATAATATTTATATTTACACGATACAACGACAAAGTGGTTATCTTGTCTCATAGAAAAACTAAATGAATTTTCTACTCATTGATTAGTTTTATGAAAGTAAACTGCGACATCTTTCTCAATACCAAGACATTATCTCGTTAAGTATCCGGGGGCTGTAAATGAACAAAAAGTTTAAGTAAAAATCCAACAACGAGATCGTACCCCTTTTTTTTAAGGTACCAACAAGTTTTTCATTTTTTAATAATCTGTTTTATTACTTTCTACGCATTAGTACACGTACGTACGTTTTTTGACATCAACACCACTTTTCTTTGCGCCAGTAAACGTTTTGATGGATTCTCCTCGTCATCTACTTATCATCCACAAAAATCATGAACAAGACAGCCAAAGTAATTTCGAATAATACGCGTCTCCGCATCCTTTTCTCATATTATTTACATGGGGGAGGGGGCAGTGTTATATAAAAATGGTCACGTGATTTTTTTTAATTTGAGTATTTACTTCAAGGGATTACGGACACTGCGGCGCTTCGTCGAAATTTTTATGAATCATAGTAATTTTTTTTTTTTTTTTTTTTATACATTTATTTTATTGGATGATAAAATGGTGTTTTTTTCAAATGAAACGTAATTGAGATGTGAACACAAATTTTTAGTAGATTGTTTCATCATTCGATGATTTTTGTTTTTTGTATGTTTTTTTGTTATGTTTACATTATTACAGAATGTGAACAATCCATTGATTTTTCAGACGATCAGCATCTCTTAAAAAGTAATATCGCGCCCCGAAATCCACTTATCGCTATTGCAGGCACTGGAAAATGACTCTTCAAGGCTAGACTCTTCCGATTTGCTTTTCTCGTCTACGACTCATTCGAGACCTTTTTTTACAAGTTCCTTCTGAAAATGCCTGTATTTTGCTGTGTGGATAATTTTTTTTTAATTATTATGCATTTAAAAGAAAATTGCAGTCATTTGGCTAATATATATATTTTTTTTCAATTTTATAATGCTATTTGTATCATTGATTAAGAACGAATAGAAATCATGGAAAATCATTCTTTTTGTTGTTATGTTTGTATTAATTGACGACGCAGTCATATTTACAGATAATGAAAATGAGTTGTTTTTTTTGTTTTTTCTTTCGTTGCTTTTTTTCATGATCCTCGATGATAGCAAAAATAAAAATTTTAACAAAAGATAACAGAATTTTTAAATCACAAAATATGCCTGATAATCGGATGAACGTATTATGCTCCGAAATTCTCATTTACGATTGAAAAGTTAAAGGTCCGCACCTATTTGTTTTCATCAGTTTTCATACAATTTCAACGACTGCTCGTATTGCTTGCCGAAATCACGCACAACTGTCCATTTCTAGAGTTACAAAAATATTTAACTTTCTCTCATCTTTGGCTACACGGCATTTGAGATAATTCAGCCATTATATTCCGGAAAACGTGACGGTATCCATCGGACAATTTACATCAACTCGACGAAGGTATTCATTACACGGTAATACCCAGATCAAGATGTAAAAATCAAATCTATTCGTTTTCAAGTCATTTTACAATTTTTTTCCATTTTTTTTTTCTTCACAGAGTTACAAGGTAGTTGCTCGCAAATCACCCAAAACACGAAGATGGATCTCACAAAACAACCATCGCCTCGGTTCTGCAAAATTCGGTTTTTCAATTTTTTTTTTTTTTCTTTTTCTCCTTTTGTCGAATTCATCCACCACACCACATTTCCCATTTTCAATCCGGAAAAACCCCGCCTCTTGAAACTGGACGCACCGCGAGGGAGATCCTCGCCACTGACAACAACTCGGACGGCAATTCAATCGACTCGAGCACCCCCTTCGGACCCTTGAAAAATCGACAGACAAATACGGCCGCTATGAAGATTAATGTACTCGTAACGTCGTGGATAAATATCAAAAACACTGTCGGCGTCCTCTCGCGACAAATCGTCCTCGGGACGCGCGCACACTTGCACTTTTCGGGAGTTCCACTCCCACTTGGTCGCATACAAATTCATCGACATTGTTGTATAATGATGGTAAGAAGGATAAGGATAATCTTGTCCGATATATGTAGCGTACCCCGATCGCGCCCAAGGCGGACCTTAGCGCGGGCAGGATCGCCCTCAGGATCGTATGGACGATTGCTGGGCCGCCGTAGTCGTCGAGGACTGCTGGGAGGCGAAGCGGTTGAGTTTGCTGTCAATTATTATTTCGTCGCCGTTGCGGATGTTGTACCGGTACAGCTGCTTGCTCGGGTACAACATCTCCTCGGGCCCGTACAAGGATTTCAACTCCTGTAAAATACATTTTTTTTTTTTTTTTTTATCAATACTATACGTACTTTGAAAATAAAAGATAATTTTTTTGGTCTCAAAACACACGACGCACTTGGTCGATGTAGAATAGCCTCATGCGGTTCGCAGGAATCTTCACCATCGACTCCAGCTTGGTTTTCAGCTCAAAGACCGTCCTGTAGACGTCGACCGACCTCACCTGCAAACAATCAATTTTTCATTCGCACCCAAAGCCCCGGTTTTCTTTGGCAAAAGTATACATAGACACGGGTAATCGGATCGAAACTTCACCTCGACGAGGTCGCCGTACGTAAATTTCACTTTGACCCTCTTCTCCGGCGTGAGATCCACGTTAACCAGAGGATCGAGTTTCCCGTGAATGCCAACCAACTCGTCGTACCTGCTTTTCGCGCGAACAGACAAAGAAAATCACTCGTTGACGCAAAAACTTTCTCCACAAATTACCATCGCCTCCCAAGGGTCGGCTCACCTCGTGGGTCGATCGGCCTCCGGTTTGTCCATGTAGTGGCGGATGAAGGCTCGCTCGGCGTCCTCGCGCTCCTGCAACGATATGACGCCGCCACCGTTGAGGGTCTCGACGTTGGGCAGCCGGGCTATCAGCAGCTGGCGCCTCTCGTGCTCCGTGTATTCGCGCGAGCTCTGCAATAGACAAACACAAACCGGTAATATTGACTTGATTTTCAAAATACCATGGTGATTACGGAAAGAGAAGAGGGTCGGACCTCGAACAGAGGGCATCCTTGGATCCTGAGGGACTTGAGAGCGGGAAAACGGGCGAGTCTGTCGATGTCGTCCCACGTCGAGAGTAGGGTGCCGTTGACGTTGAGGAACCTGAGTTGCCTGAAGGGGTCGTGCGCCGATCTGGCCTTACTCGACTCGACGCAACACTCGGACTCGGTCGCCGGGGTCATGGTCGTCGTCACTGGACCCGCCGTTCGACTGCAGTAGTTTGGCATCATGTCGTCCTCCTCGAAGTTTCTGTTACCTATTGACATGTATATGGGTTTTTAAGGAAGTTTCTTCATTTTTTTACCTGTGCAAACGTTAATGTCGCTGGTTTTATTCGAATAATAAAAGTTTTCGATACAAAAAAGTGTTTGAATGCAAGTTCAAGATATAGGATTTAAATCATTATGGCATCAGTAGAAATGGATTGGATTTGGTCGGACATTCTTTAACTGTCAAGCCATCGGTTATCAATGAAGAATACATTGATATAAACATAATAAAGTGAAGATCAACTGATTCGACGATCCAAGTCAACGATTTATCATCTTAAGGTGTTGGCAGTAATGGGAAAATCATGTATCAGTAGAAAAAGGTCGAGTTTGGAAAGACACTCAATGACAATTTGAAGCTTTTAATGGTTTAATGGTTTAAGCTTTTAATGGAATCATTTAATGGTTTTTGGTGGACATGAAAGTTATTCATAGCAGATTAAAGATCCTGAAGAGGGTATAAACATCATGACTGATGATAAAAAAAAAATTTACTTGTCGGTCATAATTGAATATTATTGAAACATCGCGATGAAACAAATAAAACATTATACCTAAGCGTCTTATTTGTACCAACAAAGAATTGAATATTTCAAGACGTAGGAAGAATGAAAACATTTGGCATCAGAAGATTTTTGTACATAAAATAACAGACGACTTTTTTAATTGTCAGTAGATGAGGTCGAGTTTGGTAAGACAATCAATCATAAGCTTTCAATTAAGCCCTGCTACTGATGTAACAAAATAGATTACTAGTATCTTATGTTTGTGCTCGAGTGCTCAAGTAAAGATAAAAATCCTAAGTATAATTCATCGGACAAAAGAGGAATTGATACGAAGCACGGGCATCAGTAGAAAAAGGTCAGGTTTGGTAAAACAATTATAAACTGTCACCCTGCTACTGGCGTAAGGAAAAAAAAATAGCTCACTAATAGTATATGTTTCAGAGCAATTGAACTCGAGAAAAGATAAAAATCCTAAGTATAATTCATCCGACAAAAGAGGAATTGATACGAAGGACGGGCATCAGTAGAAAAAGGTCAGGTTTGGTGAGACAACTACAAACTTTCGATCTACTACTAGTGTACAAAATAATATTTCATATTTCAGAACAATTGAACTTAAGTAAAGATAAAAGTCTGAAGTACAAAGCATCGGACAAAAGAGGAATTGATACGAAACACGGGCATCAGTAGAAAAAGGTCAGGTTTGGTAAGACAATTATAAACTGTCACCCTGCTACTGGCGTAAGGAAAAAAAATAGCTCACTAATAGTATATGTTTCAGAGCAATTGAACTCGAGAAAAGATAAAAGTCTGGAGTACAAAGCATCAGACAAAAGAGGAATTGATACGAAGCAAGGGCATCAGTAGAAAAAGGTCAGGTTTGGTAAGACAGCCTGTTTTAGAAATTTCTTATCAGAGCTTCCTCTCACATTCCTGTACTAAAATGGGAGTAACCCACCATCAAAGTATTTAATTCATTTTAATTGCAGGACTTTAACTGACTTGTTAATTGCTTATATAAAAACACGAAGGTCTAAATAAAAAACCGCCCATGAAAACACTGCACTCACTCTTTCCAGTGCAGCCATTCTCTAGGTGCAGCCCATTATTCCTCTCGACAATGTGGTTCATGTTCTCCGTGTCCTCGTTCTCCGCGTTCTCCGACCTGACCTGCTCCTCCATGTTTAGCGACCTGATGGGACACTCGGCCAACACGAGGCTCTCCAGATTCGGAAACCCATAGCCGAGCTTGGCTATCTCGTGCCAGAACTCAATGGGATTGCCCGTGAAGTGGAGCTTCTTGAGGGTGTGGTTGCGATTCTCGGGCTGGTCGAAGCTCAACTCGACCGTTTTGTACTCGTTGAGCGACAGGTGGAGCTCCTCGAGGTTGCGCAGCAGCCGCACCAAGCCCTGGACCGTCGACCACGACACCCGCGTCCCGTTCAACACGAGATTACGCAACGCGTCGTATTTTCCATCCTTTACCTGATTTACAAGAAACAAAAGTGTCGTTCAGTTATATATTCGTTCGAGGAAAAGTCGGATCCAGGGATGGAATGCCTCACAAAAAAAAAAAGAAACCCACCTCGAGCGTCTCCGGGAGACTGTTGAAGCTGAGGTTGACGAATTTGATCTTGGGCATGTGCCGGAGGATGCCAAAGACCTCGTCCCACTTGGACAGCTTGTTCTGGGCGAGATCGAGCTCCTCGACGTTCCGGCACTTGTTGCGCAGTTTCTCGTCGTCAGCGCCCGCGCACTCGATGTCGCAGTCCTGGAGCACCAGCAGGGCCGGGACTGTGTGCCTCGGCGACTTTTTCGGGATGAAGATGCTCACCGAGAGCGCGGCGCTGCGCGGCGAGCCCGACAACACCGGCTCCTGCTCGTCGTCGGTTAGGCAACAATCGGCCGGCGTGTCGCCGTACTTGAGCTCCAGCGCTTCCAGCAGCGACGGCATTTTCAGCGCATTCTGTTGTTGACAGTGAAACACAACAATTACATCAAATTTAATTGCGCGCCATGGTTTTTTTTTTTTCTTTTTTTTTATAATCACTATAATGGCTATTTGCGGATAACGCTTTTGTTTGAAAAACAAGTATTTTACTTCGTTCGCTTGTTAAATGAAGGTATAACGCCACTCTAATTTGCATATTCGCATTGTCTAGAGAATCGCGATGTGCAAGGAAGAATTTACCCGTGACGTCACAGGACAAAGTACATATACTTAATTTTACCTATACACGTAATCAAATAAACGGATAATCCTTGGAAAATCAAGTTTTACCAGCGAGCGATCGGTATGCGGAAGAAAAAAAAAAGCTCATCGGTACATGTATGCACACGGTAAATAAAAAGTGTTTGAGCTTGGAGCAGAAAAAGAAGGCTTATCAGCATATATATTGCGCAGGAGCCATTATTCAATGAGCGCCCAATATAGCTCGCTACGCGCGGGCTTGTAGCAAATCGTTATCGAGTAACAAAAACGTGCCGTTCTACCTTTTTTTTTTTTTTTTTTTTTCGTTCCTACGCTTCTTCTCAAAGATAAACACGTGTGTTATAGCGTCGCTGTTTATTTATCGGATGCAGATTCTCGCGGAAGTGTATTGGCGCGGCCTCGCGTCGTGTGACGACGACGCAGCAAAGTGCGTGGATTGTTCTCGCGAGTCTGAGCTATTTTTTTTTTTTCCTCATTCGATTGAAGATGGGAGCGCTTGCTTGAAAAAGTGAAAACAAACGCTGACTCGAAGAGGTGCCGATGCAAAAAAAAAATCAGATGAAAAGGACACGAGGGTGACAGGGATAAACTCGCGAGCACGGCGACTCTCGACAGCCCGAGACAGAAGGATATTGCAAGTTGCAACACATGCGCCGGGTGGCCCTCTCTTCCCGACGTGTCCTCCCGCTCTCCTTTCTCTATCTCTGTGTGTATATGTGTTTATGTGTGCAGTCGCTAGCTCGCCTCCTCCCCCCCCCCCCCCCGTTTGTGTGTCGTTCCTTTGTTCCTCGCGCTCTTTTTTTGCTTCGCTCTCTCTCTCTCTACGGCAACTCGCTGTGCTAACGTCACGTGCCTATCTTGTTTTATCGAGCAAAATACGCGCATCGTGGAAATTCGCACTTTTTATTTCATTTGGGACTTTTGTTTCTGTTTACTGATTCCTCGAGAGGGACTGCGTGGTGGAGAAGGATATACTGCTGAATCATCTCGCTCAAACCCGCACGACACGAAATTTTGTCAATACGCTCCTCGAAGAGTATTTTTATATTTTAACGAGTGTGTTTCTTCATGTTTCGCAATTTGTGTGCAATAGCAAAAAGAAACAGAGGTAATGGATGGTATTTCAATATTTGCTTGTGCTCCGTGTTTTCTCGAGCTATACAAATGCGTGCCTATACTCTTCTATATGCGTGCAGTGTACCGCACGCGCGCAAAACTTTTCCGACCTTCGATCGCAGAGTCGTTTCGACGGAAACCAAACAGCTGTCGATCTTTTGCGCGTTTCCGGGGGCAAAGCCAACTGGAGCGAAAACAAACAGCGTCACAGTCCTTTGTTCCCGATAGCATCCCAATGGCGCTCGTGCCATTGAAACTATACTCGGAAAAAAAGGCACTTTAGCCCATACGAGTTAGTCATCTCAAGAAAAATCGCGCGGACGCATTCCTCGGGGTATCGCGCACAATCACGGGATGATGTACTTGTATTAAAAGCGAGTCTCGTCGCGTGGGCGCAGCCCCCCCTCGACTAAACAACAACCGGTTTCCCAGCTTCGAGGGGAGGGAAGAAAAAAAAGGCCACGAATATGGTCAGACCGCGATGCCATTTTTCCCAAGACCGACTATACTCGTGCGCGTTTGGAAGGTTAAGGCTCGAGGATTGATGCACAAAGGGCAGTGAAAAACGTCCTTTTGGACTCGAGTATACCACCGGTACTGGGTTTTTTTCACGCGGGGATCGTTAGTTCCTGGTTACCTGTGACTAATGAATCGGTACAAAGTTTTTCTGACTCACGTTGGGGAGAAGGAGGCAGGGGATGTACACAGTATGGTTTTTTACCCGAATCTTGTACTTGCTAGCGTAAAGAGTTGCTCTCCTTTTTTGTTTGCGCGTAATTATACATGTATACACGGGCGTGCACGAGATAAACGCAGCGATCGGGAGATGTACGTCTTGAGTGAGAAAGACGTTAATTTTCATGAAAAAAAAANAAAAAAAAAAAAAAAAAAAAAAAAAAAAAAAAAAAAAAAAAAAAAAAAAAAAAAAAAACGAAACAGTACATCAAACGGAACAAGAACGTATAAGCACACGTATATAATGTACACATGCATAATGCACACGTATATATGTAAAAAGACGAGCATACACAAGAGTGGAAAGATGTACAGATGCACGGATAATAAGCTCGTAAGTGGCTGATTAACGGGGACCCAGATTACGTACACATACACGTTATGATACACGCCAGCACGGCACAAAGCGACACGGAAGGGAGCCTCTCGGTACATGCAAAAGTAACGGCTACGACTGCAGATCCCTGTCTTACCGATTTGGTTTTCGTACACTATTGTTGTATCAGTTGTTTCGTTCTGTAGTTACGTGAATAGCTTTGACGAATTTATTTGCGCGGGGAATGTGTGTCAGGCTCGTTTGGAAGGCACGCGGATTACAGTGAGGCGGGGGAAAAAAAAAAATAGGCGATCACGGTGCCAAGTTTTTTGATATTTATTGCCGAGTAGACATGTGTATACGTGTACACACGCTTGGGACGGTGGCGAAGAAGAGAACGAAGGTGTGGATTCTTGCCCTCGATTTTTTACGGTCCTCTGATTGGTTTTCGCAGATTCGCCGAGTGATCGGGTTATTTTTACATCTAACTATGCGCGCTTTGATGTATAGGTACATTTTCTCTTTCGCTCCTCGTACGAACACCCAAAAACCATCGGTTTTCACGAATCGGCCCACATAACACATTTTCAGCGAAAACGCTTTTATTGAATATGCTCGTGAAACATACGTGCTTAGCCCGTGCAACGCGCAACGTATACATAGGTATAATATAACGAGGTAAACACATAAAAAGGGGGAGAGAGAGGAGGCAAGCTGCGGCAGCTTTATAGCTCCTCTACGTAATAGCGCGATCGGTTCAACGGCCATGCGAAATTAAACTTTCTCCAGCCGCGGTGGCGAGCGCGGCTCTCCTATATATATATACGTACTGCCTCTAGCCTCTCTGTGCCCCATGTGTATACATATGATATAGTATGCCGTGTGTGGGGCAACGCGAAAGTTGCATTATTGTACGCACATGTATACATTTACTAGCGCTTACACACTCGATAGAACTCGTGCCTGATCGTTCAAGTATGTATACATAGTGCGACTTTTTTGGGCAAGTACCTCTGTGATTGTTCACATGTGCTTTTTCACCACGCAATGCTCCTCGAGGAGGGTTTAGGCGACCTTCTCGCAGCAAAAATTGCCTAATCTCCCCCTACCCCCCTCCCAGTAATGGGAGGCCTCCCATCCCTTTCCTTGTCCCTTTCCCAAGTGACAAGTGCCCATAGTAGTGCCGTTATCAAAGGAGCCGGACGTAAAGCACTATAATATATGTATAAAAAAAAAAAAAANCTAAACAAAAAAAAATAAAAAAAAAAAAATATATATATAGTAGGTATGAGTGCATATAATATACACACGTGCACGAGTTGGTTGGTTGGTTGGTTGATGTCGTGCGGAGCGAACGGGAGATCGGTCTTACGCGTCAGGCAGATGGAGCCTCGCAATCGTATCGGGTGTCGTTGAGAAAAAGCAGACACTCTGATGCTGCTGCTACTGTTTCGTACTCCTTCCGATGTTTGAGAGGGCAATCCCCACCATGTAAAGCATATTATGTACCTATGTCGCCAAAAATGTCCAAATGAAATATCATTGCCGTTGGGGCCTTGCTTCGCTCCTCCGGCCGTCATACGTCGAAGCGGAGGAAACCCGAGCCCGGCTGTCTAATTATGTGTCTCGCGCGCACACGCGCGCTTATACCTACTCGCTCGCTCTAAATCCGGAAAATCTCTCGCGGCCTTGACCCTGTGCCAGAACCACCACGTACAACCGTGGCCGAACAAACCAAAGGAGAACCGCTTCTCCGCGGCCTAGAATACCCAACGGCGCTACGACCGAAATGTACGGCCACCGGAGCGCGCCCCGTCTTTTCTCGCTTTCGGTGCGCGTATCATATGGAATCAAGTATCCATAGGTACGGCGCGCGGCGCGTGATTCATTGCCAAAGGTGGCTTAGTATAATCTTCGTGTACTTTACAAAGAGCTCATACTGTATGTATAATCTTAAAGCTGATTCAGCCGGAGACGATGTCGTGGTGTATTGTTGAGGGTCGCCGGAGAGGAGAAACGCTCTGTGTACATATATAATGGAGGAAATTTTGCCAAATGAATCAAACTATCGTACCTATCGGAAAAATAATCGATTGGCTCTGTAACGAAAGCAAAAAACAAAAAAATCCGTGGAGCATCCACCCAACGAGTATGTCACATCGCTGAATCGTCGGTCTATTTGGTGAAACGGTGGCAAACGTGTGCGGTACACCTGGTACGTGCAGAAATCGAAATCGCGCTTGAAGCTCAATATGATTCGTGACGTTTCCCCAGTGTATAAGTATTGGTGTGTATATATACCATTTCTGAGGTAAACAACGCGACTCCTTTGTACCAAAGCGTTCGGGCTCTGGCAAAAATTTATGACTACTTACCACTAACGCGCGTCAACATCACTATAAACAAGTATCTACGATACATAACTTTCGTTTCGGTCAAACAAGCGCCGATCGAAAATATCCAAACGGCCATGTGTAGCAACCGGAGAAATCGCATTAGCGTGTGCCGCAATTAAACGCGCTCCGGACAAATATGGTTTTACGTAAGCCCCTCTATGTATATACTTTACACCCTAAATCGACAAAAA